CACAATCCTCCCCACTCCATAACCTGACACTACTGTTTAATGTTCTTGTCAAGTTTTCCTCCCTCATCTAATGTTCTCTGGAAACAGAGAATAATTATTTAGTTAATAGTTATTTTTCTACTCCTTTAAGTTTAATGTAGTAGCACACCTTTTTTTTTTTTTTTTGATGAGGGTTCTAAGCACAGTAAGGGCAGAGACTACGTATCTTGCTCAATACTTTGTAACATGACTGAAACACAGTGATGCTTAATAAATATATTTTTAATAGATCTCTGGAACTTGCCACATGTCACACGCTAACTGTAAACTCTGGACAAATGGTGATACTAGTATCTTTCTCATAGGGTTGCTGTGAAAGGAGATAACATACACAAAGTAATATCTGACACACAGCAGACATTCATAAAAAGGTGAGCTCTTAATATTTTATTTTAACAAACACCTTATTTTGGAATAATTTTAGATATACAGAAAAGTTGCAAAGACAGTAGAGAAAGTCCCCATATTATTCAGGTTTTCTGATATTAACATCTTATATAACCAAAGTACTCTTGTCAAAACCAAGAAATTAACATTAGTGCAATATTATTAATATAAACTTTATTCTGATTTTACCAGTTTTTCCACCAATTCAGTATACCACACTGCAATTAAACAGGTTTTTAAGTGCTCAGTTAATTCTTAGTCTCTCTCAACCAACACTCTGAATTTGGACAATCAACTAAACTTCTTACCCCTTCATGCGTGGTTTCCAATGGAAAAACAGTTTGTTTTTCATGATACATGTAATATACCAAAATAATCCTTAACAAAACCACAGAAGCTGAAAAGACTTAAGCATTTTGTTTAGAGTATGTATTCATTAAGTAAAAGAAAAAAACACTTGGAAAATGCATTATTCTTTAAATAAATGACACAGGGTCACAAAATAGACAAACAAAAACAAAGATGAGTGGGATGCTCACTCACTCATCTTTACTGTGCGCTGGACACTAGGTTTTTCATCCCTTTTGTGGATGATAAAAATTGGCTTTGAAGAGGTTAATTTGCCAAAGTTATTCAATCACATAATTCCAGGTCTGGAATATGAATCAAAATGCATCAGACAAGATGTGTTTAAACCCATGCATGTTACATATCTTGTGCTGAAATAATTTCAGTCACAGTGACATATCTCATTGTGCAATTATATAACTGAATCACATCCAACATGGATTGTCAATTTTTTGGAGGCTGAACTAATGAAGAAAAAATCTCATGTCTTTTCTTAAATAAAAAGTCAGCCCAATTCTAACACAACTGAACTGTCCAAATAAGAACTCTGAGCATTCCCTGACCAGTGTGGCTCAGTCTGTTGGGCATTGGCCTGCAAACTCAAGGGTTGCTGGCTCAATTCCCAGTCAGGGCACATGCCTGGGTTGTGGGCCAGGTCCCCATTTGGGGGCAAAGAGGCAACAGATTGATGTTTCACACACCTATGTTTCCCTCGCTTTCTCCCTCCCTCCCCCTCTCTTTAAAATGGTCCTTTCTTGGTCCCTTGATGGTATTCAAACATATAGCCTGCTCTCTTAGTACATATAGCCTGGTCAAAAAACTATTTCAGTAAATGTTAGGCAGTAAATATTTTGGGCCTCTGGAACATGTGGTCTCTACTGCAGCCACTTAATTCTGCTGTTGTAATGTAAAAGCAGTCCCAAATAATACATTGCCAAATGAACATGGCTGTGTACCAATACAATTTTACGTACAAAAACAGGTGCTAGCCTTGAGTAGTCCCATAGGCTGCAGTTTGCTGACCCACTTAGTGCATTCCATACCATGGAATGAGTTTTAGATACTAAGTACCATTACTAAGAGTAAAGAATGTATCTTTAAATTTACCCCAAATTCTTTATATTATTTTTTAAAAATATTCCATGGAACAAGTTGGACAATAGTTCTGGCCTTAGAAAATTACTCCTAGGATTGAAAAGCAGGTGGTATAGTAGAATCGGCATGGCAAAGGATACAAAAATAATTCATAAAAAAGAAATATAAAGAGCTAATAAAGTTTTTTTTTTATTTCTAGGCTGCAAAAAAGTAGGCTTTGTCAAATATTACTAGTGAGATTGTGAGTTGGTATAGCCAATCTGGAAACAATTTACCAATGCTAAAAAAAAACAATAGCAAAACCTTCAAAATGTTCACACACAACTCGAATTGCTCTTAAATCTATGAAAACATGCTCAACCTAACATGTAACAGAAATAAAAATTAAAACTATGGTGATATACCATGCTTACCTATCATTTGGCAAAAATCCAAAAATTTGGGGAGTATAAAACAATGCTGTCCCTGTAGAGGGCAATTTAGTAATATCTATCGAAGTTCAAATACATATATACTCTTTGACCCAGAAATCCAAAGTCTAAAAATTTATCCTATACCTGCATGAATTGAAGTATATCAAGGTTCTTCACTTACTCACTGTGACATTGTTTGTAATGATACAAAATCAGAAACAACCCAAATGCCCATGCATATAGGCATTATGTACTACAGGAATAAAAAAAGAAAAAGAAGATCTACATATAGCATTAACATGGAAAGACATACAGGAAATAATAAGAACAAAAATACAGGAAGACTGCTATGTTACAGAATGTTACTTTGTATAAGAAAGAGGAGAAAATAAAAATATATAATTGCTTTCGCTGATATTTGGATAAAGAAACACTGTAAGATATGATGAAGTGGAAGGAACTGAGACAGAGTAAAACATCCCCATGTAGGTACAGGTACTTGTGCGTGTGGTTTTTATTTCTGAACCATGTAAATGTATTAGCTATTCAAATCATAGATTTTAAAGACTAATATTATTAAATACTTTAGTATTATTTTAAGGATTAAATAAGTTGGTAAATGTACCTGGTTTAAAATATGTAGCACAGTGCTTTACGCACAGTGGGGCTGCTATATCTTGTTGCTGGTCTTTTTAAATGTCATCCAAATGGTATGATAACATGAACAAATAAAAGAACAAATACCAAATACTTAATATTTTCACCTCTAGGAATCTACCTTAATAGCAATCTAAATATTGGACAAAGATTTATATATAATGAACTGCTGAAACCCCAAAACACAAAAATAGAGAAGCATTCAATAAGCTATAGTATCTCTATATTCATAAATAACTTTTACTGACAGAAAACACTTTCAAAATATACAATTTTATAATCTCAAATGTGGGCACTGGGGCAGTGATGGGGGGCAGAGAGATATATGCAGAAATAAAAGATGCAAAGAAAGTATAAAATATGCTTTTATAGACAGATCGTTGGTAATTTTTATCTTATCTTTAATCCTTTTCCATATTTTTCAAATTTTATTTTAAGCATATTATCCTAAAAGGAAAGAAAGAAACGAGGAGAAAATGTGTTTCAGGATCAAATAGGTACAAGTTCAAATCCCATATTATAGATGAAATTTTAGGTAAGTTTATTAAGCTCTTGAAACCTCCAGATCTATAAAATGGAGATATCCAAATGCCAGGGTTATTTTGAGGGTTAGCGACGTTATGTGTATAAATTACCTAAAATTGTCTTAAACATAGTGAATGCTAAGCAGTAATTACTATTATTCTCACACATCTATACAATATCCTTCCCATATATAAAATTATACTATATACATTTTATCCATCTAAGAAACTATTCATTTTAAGGTGCAAGCAGGTTTTAGAAATGTTGAACTGATCATCTTGTATTTGATAAAACTTGGTGGAATTCTGGTGAACTAAATGCTACTTTCCTTGTATATATTTTTATTCAATACAATAAAATACAAATTGTACTAGAAGCAAGTATTAAGAATAAAAGAACTGTTGTCACAGAAGATATACAAATGGATAATAAGCACATGAAAAGATGCTCAATGTCACTAATCATTAGAGAAATGCAAATGAAAATCACAATGAGATACTAACTCACATCCATTAGGGTGGCTACTATCAAAAAACAGAAGATAAGAAGTGCTGGTGAGGATGTTAAGAAACTGGAGGTCTTGTACACTGCTGGTAGAAATGAAAAAATGGTGCAGTCACAATGGAAGACAGTATGGCAGTTGTTCAAAAAATTAAAAATAGAATTACCATATGATCCAGCATTTTCATTTTCAGGTACATACCCAAAAGAATTGAAAGGAGGGACTCAACTAGATAGTTGTACAGCCATGTTCATAGTAGCATTATTCAGACTAGTCAAAAGGTGGAAACAACCCAAGTATCCAATGATGGGTGAATAAATAAACAGAATATAATGTATACATACAATCAAATGTTAGGCAACCTGGAATAAAGGGAAAATTCTGACCCATACCTCAATATGAATAAACCTTGAGGACATTATGCTAGGTAAAATAAGCCAGTCGCAAAAAGACAAATACTGTATAATTCCACTTATGAGGTATCTAGAGTAGTCAAATTCTTAGAAACAGAAAGTACAGTGGTGGTGTGAGGGGCTACTGGGAAAAGGAATGGAGAGTTGCTGTTTGATGGCTGTATGTAGAGTTTCAGTTTTAGAAAATGAAAGAGTTCTAGAGATTGGCTGCACAACAATGTGAACATACCTAATGCTACCAAACTGCAAATTTTAAAATGGTTAAAATGATGAATTTTGCATTCTGCACATTTTACCACAATGAAATAAAATTAAAATTGAGGATTTTAAGAATGAGAACAAGTCAATTTGAATAACAATTCACTGAAAATAATTGTAATGGACAGTATAAATTCACTTAAAATAGGAAGATGTTTTTAAAGTAATACAATCTCCTTAAAGAGTTATGAATATTTTAACAAAAAAAGAAAAACCAAAATAAAGAGCAGGTTTTAATCTACTTTAACAAACATTTTGACTAAACCATTTAAAACTTCAATTAAAATTTAAACACTATAAACTAAATATGCTCTGAGCAATAAACTTATTATTCAATTTTGTGTTACTTTCATTATTTTTTACCTGGGAGAGAGAATAGTACCAAGACAGAGGACGCTCAAATGCTCTTAATGCTGCTGTCTTCAAGGAAAACTGTGATTCGCTTACTGTTTCTTCTGACATGACTCCTCTTCTAATCTTCGTTAAATGAAACATAAAAATATATTAACCACAAAGATTTCTCATTACTCCAAATTAAAATTATAACTTTATCAGCTTTTTTTTTGCAGTTAATTATTCATGATATTACACTTAGCTGAAGAGAATAATGTTCTGAGGCAAATTTACTTGAGCTAAATATTTACTTATTAATCACCAAAGCAGCCAAAAAGAAAATGAGTTAGATTTTAATTTTGACTTCAAGTAGTAAATTTTCCTTAGAAAACTGCAGGTTCTCACCCTGACTGGTGTGGTTCAGTTGGCCAGGCATTGTCCCACAAGGCAAAAGGTCTCCGATTCAATCCCAGTCAGGGCACATGCCTGGACTGCAGGTTCAGTCACTAGCCAGGGCATGCTGGGGCACGTCAGGGCATGATGGGGCACATAAAAGAAGCAACCCATCCATGTTTCCCTCTCTCATCAATGTTTCTCTCCCCCTTTCTTCCCCTCCCTTCCCCTCTCTCTAAAAATAAATAGGAGTTCTGGTCAAGATAGTGGCATATGTTAACAGGGCTCACCTCCTCGCACAAACACAACAAAATTACAATTAAAATACAGAGCCATCACTCAGAACCATCAGAAATCGAGTTGAATGTAAGACTCATAACTACAGAACTAAAGAAACTACATCCATCTAGAGTGGTAGGAGACAAGAAACAGGCTGGTACCACATCCCTATGTGGTGGATTAAAATCTGGGAGGGATATTTCGGCAGCAAAGAGTCCCAACCCGTACCAGCCTCCCCAGCCCAGAGTTCCAGTGCCAGGAAAATAAGCCTCCATAACTTTTGGCTGCAAAAACCAGTGGGGATTAAGTTGGTGGAAGAAACTTTGGAGTCCCAAGCAGTTCCACTTCAAGAACCCATACACAGACTTACTCAGATACACTCCCTCTGAGCTCCAGCACTGGGGTAGCAGCTTGAAGGCACCAGTGGCATATAAGGAGGAACTGAAGTGACTGGCATGAAGGTGAGAGCTGAGGGATAGCTTTCTCACAGACAGAAAGCTGGGGAGAGGCAGTTGCCCCTTTTCTGAGTCCTTTGCCCACAGAGCCACAGAACCAGCAGGCAGGTGCCACATCTGAGACTCCATCAACCTGCTAACACGGTTTGCCCTGCTCTGGAATCCCGTGAGACTCCCTTCCTCAATTTACAGGCCCACCCAAACTCTTAACTGTGACTTTTCTATATGAGTGACTAGTCTTGGCTCATGCTTCACAACTTCCTAAATCCTATCAAACAAGCAACAGTGAGTCTCAGTAAGCTCCTAGCCCTCCCACCTCTGGTTAAGTGACCCTGGACCCCACACTAGCCACAGCCAGCCTAGATTCACAGCTTGGCTTCACATGGGAATCTCCAAGCCCAGCATTAGTAGCAGACATCTCAGATTGCTTTATAGCTCATGCAGGGTGGCCCAGGGAAAACACAGGTGAGGGTTGACCTTGCCCTACACCACCAGGGATACCCAAGAGCCTGCACATCCAGTGGACAGGTACAGCCCACATCAGAGCACCACTGCCCTGCCCCTGCACAGTTGACCCTCCATGAAGAACGGAGGTAGGTGGTCAGTGGTCACAGCCAGTCCTTGCAGCTGACTGGCTTGGGTAAATCCCTACCATTGACCTGACAACAGCAATCAAAGCTCAACTATAAGAGGAGGATGTACTCAGCCCATACAGAGGGCACACCTTGAGTACCAAGCTTGGGTGATAGGGGAGGCTGTGCCACTAGCCCCTATAGGACACCTACTACATTAGGACATGTTACCAAGACAGGGAGTCATAGAAGATAGCAGCTCTACCTAATACACAGACAAACTCAGGAGGCTGCCCAAAAGAGGAAACAAAGAAACATGGCCCAAATGAAAAGTCAGATCAAAGCTCCAGAAAAAGAGCTAAACAAAAGAGAAATAAGCAATCTATCAGATACAGAGTCCAAAACACTGGTTATATGGATGCTCAAGGAACTTAGTGAGGACCTCAACAGTATAAAGAAGATTTGGTCAAAAACAAAGGATTCACTAATTTATATAAAGAACAATTACAGGGAAACCGTAGAGTGAATAAAGCTCAGAATCAAATCAATGACTTAGAACATAAGGAAGCAAAAAACATCCAATCAGAACAAGAAGAATCCAAAAAACTGAGGATAGCATAAGCAGCCTCTGGAACAACTTCAAGCATTCAACATTCACATCATAGGGGTACTAGAAGGAGAAAAGAAAGAGCAAGAAATTGGAAATCTATTTGAAAAAATTATGAAGGAAAACTTCCCTTATTTGATGAAGTAAAAGTCATGCACGTCCAAGAAGCACAGAGAGTCCCAAGCAACATGGATGTAAGAGGCCCACTTCAAGACACATCATAATGAAAATGCCAAAAGTTGAAGAGAGAATCTTAAAAGCAGCAAGAGAAAAGCAGTTAGTTACCTACAAGGGAGTTCCCATAAGACTGTCAGCTGATTTCTCAAAAAAAAACACTTTGCTGTCCAGAAGAGATTGGCAAGAAATATTAGGTCATGAAAAGTTTTTTCAGAACTAGAGCCTAGATTGATCTACCCAGCAAAGCTATCATTTAGAATCAAAGGGCAGATAAAGAGCTTCCCAGACAAGGAAAAACTAAAGGGGTTCATCATTACCAAATCATTATTATATGAAATGTTAAAGGGGCTTATTTGAGAAAAAGAAGATCAAAACTACGAACAATAAAATAACAATAAATATGTATCTATCAACAATTGAATCTAAAAAAACAAACAAAGCAAAAAAAGAAGAATAAAGACAGAATCATGAATACCAAAAGCATCTTGATGGTTGCCAAATGGGAGAGTGGTGTGGTGGAATGGATGAAGAGGTAAGGGTAGAAATAGGTGGGTACAGAACAGTCATGGGATGTAAACTACAATATAGGGAATGGAGTAGCCAAACATGAACAATGGTGGGGGGATTGCCTGATCAGGTGGGTGGGTGCTGGGTAGTGGGGGAAAAAGGAGAAAAATCAGGGCAACTGTAACAGCATAATCAATAAAATATAATAATAAAAAATAAAATAAAGTGAGGAAATAATTCCAAACTCAGTCATTAATAACTGAGTAACTTTTAAAAGCCAGTCATTTCAGGTGCTTTCATAAGTATTAATTAAAAGAAATATGAAGGTAGTCTCATAATTATTCACATTTGTGGAGGGTGTCTAAAACGTCACCAAAAATTGTACCCATGTAGTACAAATTATTACTCGCTTCTCTCCATTTTAACCACTGGAGAGTTAAAAATAAGTGTGAGAGTTTGTGTGTTAAACATCCTAAAATTCTATTCTACAACTTGGATTTATAATTCAAGCAAGAATGAAAGTCTGAAATACCTTCCAAAATTTGACGTGAAGCATAAATCTGTACAACCGGGCTATGAAAAGAGGCAGCAAATATGCTTAGTTGCCACAATGATAAAAAATAAAAATACTAATAGAAGTCCGTGCAAGTGCAAAACCTTTTAAGAGTCAACCCGCAGTGAAATAAATGTTAAATGACTTCATTTACAGAAGGGCTCAGGCTGACAATCCGCCTGATGCTAAAGCATCTTTAAAGGAAGAGTAATCTTGCCCACTCAAAATCCCCTCCCTGCTCCAATCAGGGGCATTCAAGCAGAAACTTGGACCCGCTGGCTGCCCCACCCCCTAAGGGACTCCCCACCTCCCACCGCGCTCTCCCCGGCAATCATCCCTTTCCTTTACCAAAAGGACCAAAAAAGGAGCTTCCTCTCGGCTTTACGGACGTGAGACCTCCCTCGGGATCCGAGTAGTTGGGAGCTCACCCTGATTCAGCGTTTCCCTTGCGGGCCTCCCCCTTCTCCTCAACACAAGGGAAGACCCCCCACTTTCCGCTCCCCGACCTGGCACTCTGAGTCAGGAGGATAAGGCCGGTGCTGGGACCCTACAACACCCTGCCCCACCTGCCACTTCAGTACAGCGTACCTGACACCGGAGGCAGGTGCAAACGGCCCACGCCTGCTGCCAGCTGCAGCCAGGAGCTGAACCGCAGCAGCCTGGCCGCCAGGGCGGAGTCCTTCCGGGGTCAGGAGTAGGAAGGTGGAGAGAAAGTGGCGAGGTTGTATAGCCTTTCTGCGTGAGGGGCTACGTGTGAAGCAGCTTCCGCCATTTTTGTTTAGGGTAGAGCCCCTACGCTCTGTTCCAGATACTAGGTTAGCAGAATTTCGTCCTTTTACAATGCTGTCAAAAGCCGGTATCCTAGTTCGTAACCTTTTGTGGTATCTAGGACCATTCTGCCAATCTGGCGAAAACTATGGGGACTTTTACTCAGGAAAATGCACATAGACCCGTGCTTATACATTATTAAAAGGTGTGTGTGTGTGTGTGTGTGTGTGTGTGTGTGTGTGTGTAAACACTCAGCTGAACACTGAGTGTTGTGGCAGGTGAGCTTGTAAATTACCCATCATGAAATGTGGGCAAAGGTGTTGAAAGAGTCTTCAAAAAAATTCATCAAAGCCCAAGACAACCTCTCACAACAACCCAGTTTTTTGGTTATTGTTGTTTGTTTTTTGGGGAGCCAACTTCATACATACTCAGATACTCAAAACCAATTCATAGATCCCAGATTAAGAACTTCTACTACTAGAGACCCTCAGCCTCAAAACGAATGAACATTAAGAAATATTCCAACCCTGTATTGATGATGAAGTTATTGATTTAAATTCCTCTTTAGTTTTTCTCCACATTTCCTACTAAATTAACCTACCAAGTAATGTGTGAATATGGCCAACTACCAGGGGTTAGGCGGGGCTCTGAGGTTCTGTTTAATACATAGTAAACTACTGGAGGGGAGGACAATAAAACAAGTTGCTGTTTCTATATGCAGTCCTAAGCCAAAAGAATCCATCAGGACTCTAGATTTAAGAATTATTATGCTGAAAAGCCAAAATAATTTTGTAAGGACAGTTAAAACATGAGATCAAATGTTACTATTCCAATCTAAGGAACTAGAATCAACAATTCTTCCTGATCGTTTTCAAAATTTAGTCAAAATGAAAAACGGAGAATTACAATACCAATATGTGATGTTACTAGATGAAAAATAAGTAAAAATGCACAGATTGAGTTCTATGTGGAAATATTTTACATTTATAGACTAATTAATTCTCTTGACAGCTGAAGAACCTGGAATTTGTAAGGCTATTTTTATTTATTCCTCCATCTTCTTTTCTGCCTCCTCCTGAATTCCTACAAATTCCAAATATTCAGTCTAATGGGAAGAACAGTAATAATGATGACTACCACTTAAAGCAACTTGTCTAAGAACATTATCCTCTTTTAATTCCACAATAAACAGAGTAATATTATTACACACTGAATATAAATGTACTCTTTAACAGGAGAATAAGAAATGCCATATTCCATTTTTTTAATCAATGTAATTTACTCCAAGACTCCCTTCTTCTGGGTTGCCAGAATATTCAATTTTATCATTATTGGGTATATCAAAATTCTGTTAGCCACAAGGAAAAAAAATAGTGGTTTATATCATAGGATAGGCAGCAGCTGGACATAGTCTTATATTTGGACTTACTGTCTTCTGGTATTCTGGCCCAGGGGAAAAAATGGGACTTGGAGTAATTATAAAGGTTTGCCCTTTCCCTAAACAACCAAAGCCATCATGTAATATTCACCAAACTAGGGGGTGGAGTTCATAGAGTAGTATTAGTTGTTTTACAGTTCTAACACTGAGGTTCTTGCTACATCAACCACTAATGAATTTGGAGGATCTTACATGCATATTGTCAAAACAGTGCTATGGGGTCAGACTGCCAAAGTTTGAATCCTTTCTCTCTCATTTACTAAGTATGCCGTCTTAGGCAAGGCATTTAATCTTATTATGCCTCAGTTTCCTCATTGGGTGTTGGGAAGATAAATGTAATAATAATTGTAAATCACTAAGATTCTTAGGTAAGTTTTTAACTTGAATTGCTTATATCTCCATAGATTCTTTTTTCCTTTGTAGTCCTACGTGTTTTGTTTTATGCACATAGAAACATTACTTTGAGAAGGAGGTCCATAGTCTTCACCAGAATGTCAAAGGGTCCCTTGATACCAAAAAATGGTTAAGAACTTAGAATAATGCTGGCAAATACTTTTAAGATACGTAGAATTTTAAGTAGGCTTTTTCATGTCTTTTGGCAGAAGCTTCATTGTTAAGAAAAATAGATTCCAAGTGCCTTGAGCATTCTAAAAAATGATGCTAGACCTTCCACGCAGTATATGCTAGAATACAAAGCCCATTTAGGAATCCTCAGTCCTCATGTACTTCCAGGGAATGAAATGGCAAAATTGATTTAAAATAAGACTGGAGAATGAAAATGCCTTGGAGGTAGTTTCCTGGAGTGCTGTGCATTTCCCTTCTCCTTACCCAAGAGTGAGGAGGAGAGAGTGCTTATCCCATCCTATCCCCACCTCAAGTTAAGCAAAGGAGCCTTAAGAAACTTAGACAACTTGACCTTTGTACACATTAGTTTATGTCACTTGGAAAAAGTCTAAAGTCAATAGACCATCCAAAGAGGCCTATAATGGCAAAGCAGAGAGAGAAGGTTGCAGCAGAAGTGTCCTGTACTTGTAATTTTACAAGAAAAATTTTCTTGTGGGCCATATAAATGCCACATAAGGTAGCCAAACTTGAGTTATCTTAAAAGGTTGTATTTTCAAACCCAAAGCTAAGTGGACCATCTAAGTGGTTAGCCACAGATTCCTCCCCCCGCCCCCAACTGTTAGGAAATGAAATGGAGTGAGGTCCTCAGCAAGGTGAGCAGTCACTGAGGAGCCCACAAAAGGGCCCTGTAAGGAAAGAGCCAGCATTCAGGAGTGGGCCACAAGAAGAAGGCACCAAAGTCAGTTTTAACTACACTGATTGGGTGTAGTTGATATTTTATTTATGATATTTAGGATCACTGCTCACTCCAGCTGAGACAATATATGGTCAATGTACTTCGTGAATTATTGGTGGAAACAGCACTTATCAAGTAACAACACTAAACGTGACCAAAGTCTAGCACTTTGGGGAGTTAAAAACAATTACCTCATCTAAGTTGATGCGTTCTTTTAGGTAATTCATATATCCAATTTCAGTACCTTTTCCATTATCTACTAAAACCTGGCAGAGTCCCCAGAAATAACCCAGAGCCTCCTTTCAAATCCACACAATACCCTGGGGCTTCTACTGGCTACTGTTATTTTTGTTCTCACCACCCAGACAAAAGTGTTTGACAGGACTCCCCTACAAGTCAGTACTAAGCCAATCAAGGCATCTAAAGCTCAGAGTATGGTTCTAAAGGCTAATTTAAAGCATCGATTCTATTCACATCCAAATATTGCAGATTCAGTTATTCAAAATATTAAGCATATGAACCAGTTCCACTCCTAGATAATAGCCAAGAGAAATGAGAACATATAGCTACATAAAAACTTGTAAGAATGTGCTTAGCAGCATTATTCATAATAGCTAAAAAGTATAAACGACCAAATGTTTGTCAGCTGATGAGTTGATAGATAAAATGTGTATAAACATTATGGAAAATTATTGGGCCATAAAAAGGAATGAAGTACTGATACATGCTACAACATGGGTGAATCTTGGAAACGTGTTACTTATTAAAACAGCCAGCCATAAAAGATTACATATTGTATGTTTGTATCGATATGAAATATCCAGAATAGGTAAATCTCTAGAGATAGAAAGTAGGTTAGTGATTGGTTGCCTCAGGCAGAAAGGTTGGGAGGAAATGGAGATGACCAATAAAGAGTATGGGACTACTTTTTGAGGTGGTGGAATGTTCCAAACTTAGACTGTGGTGTTAGTTATGCAAATCTGTGAATATATTAAAATATTGAATTGTATACTTTGAGTGTGTGAATTGTAAAGCATGTGAATTAAATCTCAAGTTGTTACCCTCAAAATTATTATCGCCATTTCTTAGATCAAAAAAAAAATCAAGGCTTAAGGAGACTATGAAAATGGTACAAGAGGTCTGAGGCCAGTGAATGACCTGGAGCACACTCTCCCTTCACCGCCTCAGCAGCTGTCAAAGCGCTGTGCCACTCCCCTGACAGGCATGTGGTCTGGGAGGCATTTACATCAAAATAGAAAGTGAATGGTAAACAATACAAATGTTGTCCTAGTAAGAGCTTAGATAAATAAATTTATTCTGAAGATCCTTTAACATAAAAAACAACAAAATTAAAATTCAACTGCATGGACAAGATTTCCTATTGCGCACATTTAGAAATGGCATTTTGAAAGTAAAAAAAAAAGGTGCTATTTCTAAACTGAAAAAAATGAAAAGAGCTGCCTGCATCTACCATCTATATATTTAAATGATGGATATTTCAAAAAGTGTAAGAAAATTACCCTCTCCCCATGTTAGAAAATATATTTTATATTTTTCACATTTTCATATTCATTCATCTTTTTCAACAGCAAGTTTATTGACTGATCCATTTCCTACATTGTGCCATGTGCTAGGTACTGGAAATACTAGAATGAGTAAGAAAAATCCCTGCCTTGGTTCAGGAGATGGAAAAGTGAACAAATCATTGCAGTGTATAATGCAGTTGACTCCTGAACAACAGGAGTTGGAAATGCAAAGTTGCATTTAAACATGGATTTCTTCAATATAGCTGGCTCTCCTCATCCTCAGGCTCTGCACCCCCAGATTTAACCAACAGTATTTTCAGTCCACAGGTGGGAATCCATGTATGTGGAGAGACACCTACATGCCTTGTTTAATGCCATTTTATGTCAGGGACTTGAACACCTGCAGATTCCCTATTCTTGTAGATTCCCGATTACCCCAGATGTTTAGGGTTGGGGAAGGTCCTGGAACCAATTCCTTTCAGATATTAAGGAATGACTATAGTTAAATTTCAGAAGAATCAAAAGTTATACACAGGGTTTTCAACTGCATGGGGGTGGGAAACCCTAATCCTTGCATTTTTCAAAGGTCAACTGAAATGACATTACAATGTACATTTATTTTTTTTTCATCCCACAAG